ATTAGTTGAGATATTTTCATAAATTATTAAAAAATTTTTTAGATTTGAATATAGACATATAAACTTACATAAAATAAGATAAATATAAATATTAAGCAATAGATTAGAAAATAATAAACGTAATTTTATGGAGAGAAATATGTATATAAATTTTTTATTGAGGTACAATTGCTTGAGCAATAATTTAATTTAATTTATAACCATTATATTGCAGATGGGATAGATGGAAAACAGGCAAGACGCACACAAACGTCCGGTCCCTTAGGGGAACTATTTGATCATGGTTTAGATAGTTGGACTGCTATGTTGATTACAGTGTGTATGTACTCAGTCTTCGGCAGAACAGATCACAGTGTCTCGCCACTACGAATGTACTTTATATTGTGGAACGTATTTATTAATTTCTATCTAAGTCATTGGGAGAAGTATAACACAGGTGTACTGTTTCTTCCCTGGGGGTATGATGCTTCCATGCTAGTAAGTTTGCTTAGATAATGATTTTTAATGTAACATAATATTTCTTTTGCGTTACTAATTAACTTTCATTATTTCATCGATTTGTGAATTTACATCAATATTTTATTGATTTTATAGGCAACCATTATTGTATTTACACTTACTAGCATAAGTGGATACGAAGCCTGGAAATTTGAATTGCTAGGTGGTCTATCAGCGGGAATGATGTTTGAAATGTTATTTTATGTCAGTGCGCTTGTGACAAACTTACCAATCGTTATTTGGAATATATACAAGTGAGTGTCATTTTATTGTCGTAAATAGTACACTTTTTTTAATAATTGGTACTAAAATATTTGCTGGATAAGAACAAAATGATTCTGAAAATTCTGGTAATGATAATGAATATTGATAAAATGCTCTATATTTATAATTATCTATTTCTCTCTCTTATAATTTGTTTTTAAACTCATTTTATTTAAAACAAAGTTGAAATGAAAAACTTTACGTGATTATAATTATCTTTTAAATTGTCTTGCAGATCGTATAGAGATAAGACTGGAAAAATGCGGACGTTTCCAGAGGCTATAAGACCCTTAGTACCTTTAGTGTTGTTCTTTATAATTTCCACATTCTGGATAATGCACTCTCCAAACAATATTCTAGAAAAAGATCCGAGAATAATATATTTTGCCATCGGCACTATTTTTTCTAATATATGCGTAAGAGATACATATATATCATACATTTAACTTAACTTAGTAATTCTTTTTGTCTTCCTCATTATTATTTATTGTATTCATTTAAACAATGTTTATATTGCAGTGTCGATTAATTGTATCACAAATGAGTAATACTAGATGTGAAATATTACCATGGTTACTATTGCCAATCGCAGTGGCCGCTATTTTCTCATTTATCTTGCCAAGCATAGATTTGGAAATTATGTATTTAGTTTCCCTAATAGCCGTAGTGGCGCATATTCATTACGGCACTTGTGTAGTAAGTTTAATGACATATTACGACTATAATTATATAACATTAATGTATTTTCAATTATACGTATTGAGAAAGAGATCTGCAATTGTTACTTATATTTTTAAAATATTCTTTCCATCATATCAACACGATTGGTTTTGTAATTGCAGGTACGTCAAATGTGTCGGCATTTCCGTATTCAGACGTTCTCCATAAAGGATCATTCCGATTGACTACTTACCGACGATGCATGTTAAGAACGAAGAGAAAGAAAGATCAATAAAAACTGACACGGAAAAGCAAACAGGGAGAAGAGATCTGACACACATATACACGAACTTTTCTTAGAACTAATTATGAGGCATTAACAATCATGACAAAACGCCTTTTGAACAACTCTGTTAGAAATGCTTCCCTTACATGTAAATACTCGTAGTTATGCATGAAATTGAAAGTAATAAATAATTTAACTGAAAACTAAGTTGCAGTAGTTGCTTAAATGAACGTGTACATTAAATTTCATGAAATTCTTCACGGTGTACATTAAATATTAATAAAATTTGAGAACATTTCTAACAGTGGGAAATTATAATCACGTTCTTTATGAGAACATGCGCCATTCACACGATTGTAATGCTGCTCGCAGAGAGAGATAGCACCATTCTATTCTACATATTTAAAAAGAAAAGAATAGTGTCTGTTCTAGACACCTATTTATTTCTATACAATAACAAAATTGTCCGAAATGTGTTTGACTGTTTACTGTGATATACTTATCCGCATCACTGCTTTATCTCCAAGAGCAGCGTGCGCGCGGTTCGTCCATAAATGTCTTCATCATGATATTCCGCTGGGCTTACATACATATGTGTGTACAAGTACTTTTTCTTTGAATGCTGCCGAGTTTATTGAGCAGTGAATTAAAAATGCACCTCTTCGTTTTTGACGTGTATCGTCCCTCGGACGTTATTAATCAATGACTAATAACAAGGCTGCGTTCAGCAGACTCAACAGTTTTGCAACCGTTTTATGATTAGTCTCTCTGATTGAATTATACTTTTAGATCTAAAGGAATAGTCCTATCTCAACAAAGAATCATAAAACAGTTGTAAAACTGTTGAGTCCGCTGAACGCGACCATTGTATCCATGGTGGATACAACATTGTATCTATTTAGCTGTCTTTTTCTTTTTCGTTATTTTAGTGTTTGAAAAATTGTTTAAATTATTGGCAATTTATATATATATTTTTTTATTGTAAAACATTGTGTGTAATACTTTAAGATGCATTTAGTAAAATATAATGTGTACACATTGAAGTAAGAAAGGATTGAGTGCGCGTTATAGTTTATGTATCGAATGTACATTTGCGTTATATAAGATATATGTACAAATTATTATATAATTATCTTGTATGATTTCCATAAATTACAATGTAAAATTCTGCTACATTAGATTGCAGCAGCATTGATAGCTAGTTTCTGTTTGTCTCACAGTTTTGATCACAACTGTAGATAGCCACAGAGTAATAGGTTTTCTAAGTATATGTAAAATAAAATGTATGAATATGTATCAAAAAAGAAGAAATTTAGATGGTAATAGTGAAAACGTCAGTTTCTTTTCAATGTGGATTTGACATATTTCAAGCTTATATGTAAACTTTAACAGACTATACACATACATGATACATTACAATATAACATTGCGAGAATATCATGGAATAAAAAATATTTTCCGAAATGAAGCCTTATGTTGTATCTATCATTGTGAGTTTAGGAAATCGGTCTTTATTTTGGCGCGTTCCTCTAGAGGCGGCAGGTATGGTTTGATACCTTTTAACCTGCGTTCACGTTGTACAGAAGCCTGTAAGAAATATGATCCTTTTGAAGGTGTAATCTTGCAGACACAGAGCATTTTCTAGCAAGACAAATCATAGTAGATAGGGTGCTTTTCATTTGATGCTACAATTATTGTTTTATCCCATTCTACCCTTGTTACTTATTGAATGTCAAGAAAGATAGAAATGATGTTTGTATCACTTGTAAATGAAAAGCACCCACAGTGAATCCTTGCATCCTTGTTTAACATTGCCAATGACAAATAAGAATAAAATGATTCACTATGTTATATATTGGGTCAATTATCTCTTGCTAAAAAAACATCCATAAATTTGTGCCTTCCTGAATCACAGGAGGAAAATTACCCAGAAATCTTTACAGTTCCTGTAATTGATAAAATATTGTGTGCATGTATCCTTGGTTTTATTGGATGTGACGCATTTTAAAGACATGAGATGCTCCTACAAGTTGAAAAAATGCAACATGTTAACAAAATATAAGCCACACTCTGGTCTTCTTCTAGCCAACGATATTTTCTTTTATCTACATTTTCTTAGCTATGCTTTTTCTTCAGCTTTTTTTCAGTACAAAAGCATACACGTGTATCGCTGTAAAAAAGAATACCGAAAGTGTGTTCATTCAATTGATGTTGTATAATTGTAAATCACAGTAATCATTTAGATACCTTGTAACAAGGATTATCTATTTGTTGATCACGTCGTAAAGTGTGCCTACTCTTGATATCTCCTCGTTCCGTAACATTTGAATTTCTTTGTGTATCCATTTCGCCGACAGGAGTCACAACAAAAAAGAGTTTACATACAAATATACAATCCCTTCTTGAACCTCACTGTCTCACATGGGACATGGCCATGAAAGAAGAAAATACCTACACCTTTGTAAAATCTATTCGTTTTATTTGCACTTTCCGCACTCAGATCACTCTGGGTGCTTTCCAATTGATGACACAAGTCGACACAAGTATCGTTCTATCTTCCTTGATATTTAGAGATTGATAAAGATAGAATGACACTTGTGTCGATTTGTGTTATCAATTGGAAAGCACTCAATAACTCTACCAATGTCCGAATATATAGCCATCTCATTTTGAGTGCAGAAAGTATTCGAAAATCGGTAGAAGGAAAGAACTGAACTCAAGTGCACTTACGCTTAAATGCCTGCAAAGTATAAACAAAGCAGCTGTAAAGAACAGATTTGAAAAGAATTTTATGATTTTATTCTTGACAGTGATACAAAATAAAGAATTTCAACGAAACTCAATTGAAATTTTTATATTCTGATTCATAGACGTTCCTAGCACGATGGCGACAACTATGTCACATATGTGATCGCACGTTGATTTTGTGGTTAGGTTGACGTTTAGCCGACAGTTTCGTTTCAAGATACATTAGTTATAATCTTACAGAATGGAAGTAAACGTGGGCGATGTGGTAATGCCTGGCGACAGTTTAATAAACATTAAGAATGAAAATAAAAACGAGAAGGAGATCGTGATCCTGGGTCCTGGACTGCGTCGTGAGGGCAATACCGTACTCATCTGCAAGGCGGGTGTTCTAAGGAAACGTGAGCCGGCCGTCTATTATGTGGACAGCTATCAGAAACGGTACAGAATATCATTGTTAGAAGAATAGAATGATCTCTCTCTCTCTCATGTTGATTGTGTTTCCTAACAGGAAAGCAGTCTGTCATCTGTAAATGCTTGCCATTCAATGACATAACACAAGTATTATTCTATCTTTCTTGACATTTAATGAATAAGATAGAACTTGTACCTATTTGTATCAAATGGAAAACACTATGTCTTTTGCTGAAAAGCAAAATGTAACACAGTTATTGGTGCTGAATAAGACCTACCTAATTTATAGTAATTAAAAGGTGCTAATTAAATTCTAAGAATTAAGATGATATAATTTATATGTAAAAAAAGGATAAATATTAAATACATTTTAATAGGAGTAATCCAAACTTGCTGTAACATAAAAGTGAATTAATATTTTTTATAAATGTATTTATAATTGAGTGAATGCAATAAGTGCACTCCAGAAGATTAATATAAATTCATAAAATATATGAATTCACTTTATGTCACATTAAACATGCATAATTCGATTCTGCAACAAAAATAGACTTAGACCAAGCTCCAACTAATTTAATTCTTTTTTTTTGTCGCTAATTATAGTTCATTCATCTTGAACTATTCTTTTATTTTATACAGATACATTCCCAGTCGAGGCGAGAACGTCGTTGGTATAGTAACACAGAAAAGCGGCGACATTTACAAAGTGGACATCGGAGCCAGTGAACAGGCGACGCTATCTTATTTAGCCTTTGAGGGAGCTACGAAGAAAAACCGACCTGATATACAAATTGGCGATTTGGTGTACGCCAAATTGTTGGTTGCCAGCAAGGACATGGAACCGGAATTGGTATGCGTAGACTCCCACGGCAAAGAGAATGAGCTCGGTATGCTCAGCTCAGATGGTATGATGTTCACCTGTTCGCTGAGCCTCATAAGGAAATTACTCAATCCGGAGTGTCCGTTGTTTAGGCTGCTCGGCCGGAATCAGGCATACGAACTCGCTGCTGGGATGAACGGCAGGATATGGATAAAGGCGCGGTCAGTTCAAGAGACGATAGCCGTGGGAAATGCTATTCTAGCAGCGGAGTACACAATACCTAGTGAAATGCAAAAACTTTGTACCAGAATTGAGAAAATATTATTTGACAATTGTATAATATAAAGGACTAATAAAAGTTAAATAACTAATTTGTAAAGTTTCAAATAAAAAGATGAGCTACATTTTAATTATATATACTGATTTAATGAGTCGACAAATTTTACATTATATCACGCGCGCATTACATGTTTCGGCTGTATGATTCAGCCCTCTTCGGATGCTCGAACAATCCCGCAATACAAAAATCTATCTTATTATATTTTAAACTGCAATTTCCATATAAATTGATTGTGATGGACATTTTGGACCGGATAAAATCATGTAGATGGACCAACGATTGACCGACCGATTGATACTATGTTTTACCATGTTCAAATTGTCCATAACAAATAGATCGTTAGTAGTCATCCTCTCGCAAATGTTATCGAAGTCAAGATAGATGGTCACATAATTATACAATGTCAAAAACTTAAAAGAAGATCGATTGTCACAACGAAATTAGACACGTCTATCTATTACGGTTGTCGTTACAATATTGATTCAAATAAAATTTTATTTCTCATGGCATAACGTTAGTGGACTTTAAGGAAAATTTAATTGGATTATTAATGCGAAAGATTAGCATCAAAGGTTTAGTTTTTTTTTTAATGAAACTGAGAAGAGATTAAAATTATGTCTTAAATCAACTCAAATGGATTTTGAAGCCAATCCCACCTTGGTATGCAAAATAATGACTATTTGTTGTTATCAATGACAGTTATATTTATTGTATATTTGCAATAAATTCTGTAAATAAATCGTGAAGAATTTTCTTAATTAATATTTTATGTGTAGGAATAGTATAGAGTGAGATAACCATTGTGACAATCTAATGTGAATTAAAACTATAGGTACAATTATCACTAAAAGATTATGTATAAATGTACATACAGCGGAAGCGGCGAGTACAGATTGTATAAGATATTAGCGTGAAATAATATAATTGATATAATTTAACGTTTAGAAGAATAGAAGACTCGCTTCGTAGCAATTCAATGTTTAATTTCGCTTTAACAAAAGAAATTTGATGACATTCGGATATTACACATAGGTATCGTATTACACTAGTGATTGCAGACAGTATCGATATAAAGATGCAGAGCGCTGTTAATTATGATAATTTTCATTACGCCTCGCTGATATGTGCCTAATGCTCTCCTCGGTTTGCTCGAGCCGTGCGCGACAATATACGATGTTATTTACCGTAAGTCTAGAACAGTGCCGATATTTGCACTCAAGCACAACCATTACTTTCATCTTACAAAATGTTACTCGAAAAGCAATATCTATTCCAGTGAATATATCGTTACATTTCCATATAATTTTTATTTAATCAAAGACTGCACAGTATCTTTGTATTTAGTGGAATGTATTCACTGCCATCGTCTACTAATTAAACGTAAACACATAAGAAAATCATTGGCAAAACAATCTCAAAGATATTACTCCTGTTGTTAGTAAAGAAAAATATAATGAAATAAAACTAATACTATCTTCTTTTTATCGCTGAGTAGTCATATTTTACGAAATTACTATCTTCTTTTTAACTGTGAATGTATACCATGTTTTTGAAAATGATTGAGACAAAGAATAATAGCCCATGATTTTCTACCTATTGACATCACATAGAGAATATTTTTTTGCGCCAATAAACAATAACAACTTATCGCTAAACGCACGTAATACTACTGTTGACTGAGATTTTAACTTTTAGATTAAAGTAATATATAATACAGATCAATTAAAAAGGAAGAAAAACAATAAGTATACATAAACGCATATAAACACACAGAATATAGATATATACGCAAGAAAAACGATAAAAGATCTAACAAATAAAAACAATAAGTATTGATAACAACAGAAGTATAATATTAAAGCTCAACTATTCTTTTTGGTCATTTATGGCCCCTACTTCATCTCACAGCGCCATACTAAAATAAAATTCTATAAAACATAATATCATCTAAATGCAAAAAATACACCGTTCAGGATCGGATTTTTGTTCAGTATCTACATCGCAGATCTAAAAAAAATCTAACAAGATCTTCGCAAAACAAAAAAAGTAAAAAATTTAAATTCTTTTTAAAAAAAAGGACATAGAACATAACAAATGTAAGTTAGAGGCTAAAGGATTAAAATTATGACTTAAAAAGTTGAATTTCTGACTAGTTAAAATTATATATATATATATATATATATATGCAAATAGAATTATAAATATATAGAATATATTTAGAAGATTCATATTTACTTCTGTGTTATTTACTATTATTATAATTATTAAGAATTAATTACTATTATTGCACATAATTATGATTACAATTCCTTCTTACACATTTCGAAATATGTCCCTAAAATCCGATCCCGAATACAATTTATTATATACTAATTATAATAAATTATTGATAATTATTGATCGAGTCGAATTATGTATCCTCGACATAAATAATTTGCAATATTATGTGCTGTAATACATCTTTTCCTTCTTCACTGCTATTTTCACAATGTTTTTACGAACGATACTACGCCAGCGATATGTGGTAAGTGTAAGTTTCACGAAAAGAAACAAAAAAGTTTACTAATTACACAGTAGGAAAACATCCAGTATTCAACATTAATTATCTACTATGAAGTATCTACTATGAAATTATCGGTAGGTTCTGTCATATCATGGAAGAAGCCGTAGCGTTTTTTCTCTTTTTTCTGTAGAAACCACACGTATGTTCATCGCACATTGGGATGTAATTAGGCAGGCAAATATGTATGTTGGGGACGATACATGGTGGCACTAGCAACCATAAATATACTAATCTATTGGCATTGTGCTTCGCTTAATATATACGTTTCAAAGAGTGCACTAATCATCGAGGTATATCGGGAATAATTATGCAGGGGATATAGGAGAATAATTGTGCACGCACTAACGCGGCAGTGCTGTTACATAAGCGATGTAACAATAGCCGATAAAAACAAATTTTTTAGAGAAGCGGGGAGAACTATTCGCGGAAGAGAGCGAACATATTGATGCAATAAACTTGATTAGAGAAAATAAAAATTAAAAAATTAAATATATAAGGCATCGGTGAAAGAAATTATAAAACGTAAAATAATGATTTGAAAAAAAAAAAAAAAAAAAAAAGATCCTAAATTAATTTAGTATTGAAGAAATTTTTAGAATTCTTTAGAAAACAAAGCTCCGTTTACAAAAATCTTCTTATGTGATGTGATACAAAAAAAAAAGATGAAATTTAATGATATATAAAATCTTGAAAAAAAAATAGTACTATTAAACGAATTAACATAAAATAAATAAAAGTTATTTATAAAAAATTATTCTCTCAGGATTGTCTTCTTTCGATGCCTTATCTTTAAAAATTACAAACCTATTATGAAAATTGCGCCTATAAGGGATTACTACAATAGCACATAGATTATTACGATGTTTATGATATGAATATAAAATATCTGCCATTATTACTGTAGGTACATTTACATTCGCGATTATATAATCTCGTCACATCATGAAATATTTCCCTCTACTCTATTATGACTCCTATCATGATTCATTTTTGCTCACATTTATCTATTATCGGCGATTTTCTTATACAATCCTAATTGTAGAAAGGAATAGAAAATATATTTGCTATATAACTATATATAAAGCGTGGTTGGTGTATGTCAATTCTTCATTCGCGTCAGAATGCTATTAACATTTCTCGCTTATTATAGTGATAAGATTTGCAGCGGACGCGTTTTCTATATAAAAAAAATAATCTCCATTAGACAAATATGTTTTATATGCATGTAGATATGCTATTCCCTCCACACAGTACAATGGCAGAAATTCCATGACGCACGATTTTTTTAAAAGTTTATTATCGCAATCTTTATATCAGCTTAGTAGTTAGTTATAAGAATAATTTGTGGTGGATTATATCGCACGTTTCGTCTTTGAGATAAAACGGCTTTCTTTAGCAATTTTTGCTATAGGCATTAGGTATATTTAATTTTATATTTGATAAAAGCAAATGGTTACGTCTAAAACTTCTAATGGAAATCTGAAGAGTCGTATTAATCGGAAAATTAGATAGCTTTATATGCGCTTTAAAAATTTTAATAAAATTAACAACAATCAATTATATAATTATAGAAAATATAATTCTAGAATTATATTAATAAATTATAATTATTAATATATAATTCAGAAAAAAGTCAATCTATAATCATGTAAAAAATCTGTAATCTATATTGTCACAATTTTTGGTTTAACATCACTTATATCATTCAATAACATTTTACATTTCTAATGTTTTGAGCAAAAATAATACGACTCTTCTGTGGTAAATTAAAGAGGGATGCACTATATAAGTAACTTTCGTGAGCGAGATTTGTCGATTAGCAAAGCAAGACGCAGTATCACGTCATAGTATAGAATTATCGTCTGTATCTCGACATATAGATAAATATTATCATCAAGTTTCAGGATAATCGTAATGTATATAAAAAATTGTCTTTACTTATACACCTAAAATAGCATGATGTTCGGTTATATAAATATATCATATGTGTGTGTGTGTGTGTGTGTGTGTGTACACGTATTTCCATATCATTATCATAATTATTATTGTATTATTTTCTTATATATCTATATACCATTCACAACACAGAGTGCATAGTACGAAGCTGAATATCGATTCGCTTGTTCTTATATCGCCATTCGTTTATATACACATATATATGTATATTAAAGAATGTGTTAAAAGAAAAAGCAAATTCAAAGCCTCAATGTAACAACGCACAACCAATTTTTATACAACCTGCGTGCATTAAAGTATCACTTTATAGTTGACTTGAAACTTATATGTGTGCCATTATATTTTGAGTAAATTTAATAAATTTAATTGAAACATTACGTCTCTTGGTCACTGAGAGATATATAAAGAAGAATATGTTTAAATTATTATATAGAATCATTTTACAAATTATATACAAATTGTATATTTAACAAATATTTTAGGAGATAAAGTGTTGTAACTTTCCTAGTAAACAACAATCAGTGGTTAATTATAGCAACAGGAGAAAATATAACAGATGTAAAGGAACAATTCATCGAAATCGATTGTTGCTCCTACATTCTTTCTCATTAGCAGGAATCAAACGTCCATCCGTTAACTATCGCATTGAACGTTAACATTCTTATGCACACGCACGAAACACAGTGTCCCGACAGCATGGCAGAATGTCCAGTTGCTCAATTATAATAGAGATTCATCCATGTCTAGTACGATAGCGTTATTCAAAATATGTAATGTGTTTTATTTCCATCTTATTTAAATGTATAATTAAATGCTAGTAATTATTAAAATCTTATTATTGCACGCGATGCAAAAAATGCACGTTACTCTTCGTGCATTGTAGGCTGCTGTATCAGGTGATCCACTTCTTTACTTCCTCATTTTCCGACGGTGTTAATGAAAGGTACAAGCAAACTTCTTTCTTAACTAGAAAATGACATAAAAATTTCGTCGGAAAATGGTGTTACTGAAGTGGAACGCCATGTATCTTCTCGTACGGTTTATTACACCTATTGATAGTTGTGCTTAGCAGAGTTATCCGTCCGTTTCTTTTTCCTTAGTCGCTGTTTGGAAAAATTTGATTTTTGCGAAACGACGTGCGAGTTGTAGACTGCATAGACGTAGCTGTGGTAGTGTTAAAGGTGGTGCAAAAGTGTGCCAAAACAATATTGCGCATCCCTCAAGCAGTCGCATGCAAATTGTGAAAAATATTATGGATAAAAATGCACGTAAAAACAATAGTCCATATATATATATATATATATATATGTTACTGTTAGAAGTAAAATATTAATCTTGTCTATATCATCCTATCGAATCCTTTCGAATTCGCGGGATTTTTCCACGGAGCACACATAACGAGCAGTAGCATATCAATAAAGACACAAAGAATGAGAGTATCTAAACGTAAATTTATAACAAAGAAGAAAGACTTTTTCACGAATATTCCTAGGAAGGATCTATCAACGACTTGTGCACACCTTAAAAACGGCAGTAAATTCGTCATACTGTATATATACATATATGTATGATTCGATTGCTTAAATGATAACTGAGCATGTTAAAACAATCATTAATACTCGCATGTCATTCGCGCACATTGAGTTACTTTTTCAAAAAGATAAACAAGTGCAAAATACATCTTTCTCCTTTTTGAATATCGTTCATTACGTGATTCACTTTTAGTTCTTTTAAATTATACTCTTAAGTTACAGTCTTACTACAAATCTTTTGGCTCACAGAAGTTCTACTTCCCTTTAAGCTCGATCACTGAGCAATCATTGAATGTGTCTCATTAAGAAACTATACGCGAGAAAGACAAAGAACGTTCTGCAGTAAACATTTCTAAAAAAATCTATTACCTCCTTTCGCGAAGAAAGCTGACGTGAAGTCTTACATTCTGGTTTTGAACACTTCATTGTTGCGTTGTAACATCAGAGATCGAACGAGAATCGAAAATTGAGAACCTTTATTTACTTTTTTCAATTCCTTCTGTTTCAACAGTCTCGTTTGTTTCTATTAGTTTAAAATCATAACGTTTAATATTATTATATTTTGATAGAGATACCTCCCGCAGATTCTCAAAAATGAGTTTTAATCTATCTATTTTACACTTTTTTTTCTATATTACTGCACATATAAAAATCTACTTACGTTTTATCCTTGAAATTGTTTGTAAATTTTCCAAGAATAATAGCAATTTTTTACAAATATTCCGCTGAAATCCTTAAAATCGCATTAAAGAGATTTAGGTTTTGACGAAAACTCTTTTAGAATAGAAGCCATTCTTTCGTTCGATCTCTGATTGCAAGAGAAAAGTCGAGGAAACTAGCGAGGCACTTGAAGCTATTGATGGACTGCTGAAGTGTTCCGAAATTTCCCCGAAACGTATTCTCCTTTCGCCATGATTGCTAATAGTCTTGCGTTTTTTAGTCTATCAATTTCGTCGATCATCGTTTTTCATTCTTTCTTTGTAGACAAACTCGAGGCCTTTCCGATTAAATTCGGTTACTTACATTCGAGATGACGTAGAAAACTGCGTCCAATTTATTCACTTCGGAGCGGAGCAAGTCTAAGCTAAACAAAAAACGCTAAAGCCGTCTAGGTTGCACAACGCTGTTGTTATTGAGGCGTGTAGTCGTCTGATTGTTGAAATTCTCATCTTGTGGTACGTGCTCGGTGCGCTCGTCGAAAAATCCCGGATTCAGAATGATGTTGGGGACGAGCTCAATCACCTCCTGCTCCTCCAGCTGCGCTGCAATTTCGGAACGGAGATTAATTTTCATTAGTCTAGGCCACGGGTCTCATTAGCTTCTACCCTCTCCCTTCACCGGTTTTTCTTTGTCAGGTATTGTAAACCATTTATGCCTCGGAATTTCAGATCACGGTTACCATATTTCCCAAATTATTTCTAATTGTTGATAATTTCATTGATGCAACAATATACTACCAGATTCCGATGCCAATCGAAATACCGTTTGCCTGACAAATGAACCTACTACCTTTGACCTACCTACCTCGATAATGTCAAAGATCTTACCGATATTACTTAACTAGACCATAATGCTTTCTATGACTATATCGTAATATTTACTATTCATTCATTATCACTAAATTATTTTCGGCAAGCTCGTTAACATTCTGTATGTACAGAATAAGAAATAACTAATTGGAATAATAGGAGAAAATATTCGTATTCAAAAAGATTCAGACAAATAAATCTGCGGCAAGGAAATTCTATTGAGTAGTTCGATATTTCATTCCATGTGTGCCATATATCGTAAAAGATAAAAATATTGTTTTACTTGTGTGCTCATTGTTAGTGTTTAGTGCAGCAATTTGAAAAGTGTCGTATTAATATAATTGATAGAATGAGATCTCCGTTGAATGATGTATTTGTTAATAAATGTTAAATCTAATGAAAAGTTTGCAAGGTGCTCAGAATATACAGAAACGAGATATTATAAAAATATTAATTTTTCGAAAAACATGGCTGTCGCGTAATAGAGAAAAGCCAAAGATTAAAGTCACAGAGTCAGCTAGTCGGCTATGATGCTAACAGGTCCTGTTGTTTGTTAAGTGAATATGATGTATGTTCTTCAGCTGTAACTTGCACGAAGGCTTCTATGGAGAGATAGAACGATTTTCTCGAGCATTGTGCTTATTAGAGAGGCCATGAATGTTATGATCATCACCAGCGGAAAGTAGTAGTAGCAGCAGTAAAGAGACAGAGTAGAAGCAGAAGCTCTTATGATATGTTATCAGATAGGATGCTTACAGGGTGCCTTGCACTCGCGATACAGTAGGTAACAAGTACCTAAACCAAGAATCATAAGTGTGCCCATCACAATACCTACGGCTGCCACCCAGACGCGTGTATCGAAATTCTCTACGCCGGCTAAGAGGTGTCGGGCGAGTTCTGAAAATTAGTTATGTCACATAATAAAGTTAGCTTTAGCTTAGATATTGTACAAGAAACATTTAGCAGAAAGATATATCTTGTAATTTCTACAAAAAATGTTACATACATATGAAGAATATGCCAAAACTATTGCCATTAAAATTATGAATTTATAAAAGTTTGGATTTGATATCACCTTTAACTCAAACATGCTTAAAAAAAAAAAATTCAAATATCTTTCAATAAGTAATTTTCAAATATGTAAGTTTAATAAATAACTACTTTTTAATATTTTCAATTTAAATAGTGGCGACAGTTTCAGCTACAGATTTATACAAAAGTTCGAATCTTTGTGACAATCTCTATATACAAAATTTTCACATCGAGTAGTAATTCTGTAATAATAATTGTAACAAAATACCCAATTCTTCTACACTGTAATGCGTATGACCCTCGACTTCCACGACCTCTCCTTTTCCCAACTGATTGGTTGCCCACACTCGAAACGAGTATGTAGTGTTTGGCACCAAATGATACACATCTATTTGTCTCTTTAAAATAACAAAACAATCATTAGTCTTAATTCAATCTCTTTTTTATAAGAGATGGAATAACTTTATAACGTTATTAATCTTTACTAGTACTTTTTTTGAACATGGCTAGAGACACTATCTCCTGATAAAAAAATATTTCTTTTTTTTTACAGTTTAATAAATAATTTAAATCAAAGCGGATACAATGTTATAAAACAATGTTTCGCTATTGCGATGATTGCAGTATTACATAACGTTATCAAGTTATCTCGTCGCATCTTTTTTTCAACATCTCTATTTTTTATTACACAATTTGGAGATCAAGGTATTTACAGAATTTGGAGGAATGTGTGTTGGAATAATGGGCTTCCATTCTTCCGGTTCTTCGCCCGTGACTGGTTTCAAACGATATTCGGCAGTGAAGTCTATGATAGGATATCCGCCAGTACCAGCCACTTCCCAGAGAATGTTGGCCAATATCGTGGATGGCTTGACCCATACATTGTGCAGGGCTGGGGGAGGTGCTAAAGAAATACAAAAGAAATATACAATAAAATAAAGTCTAAAGCTATATTCTAATAAATAGAATAATGCTTTTATGCTAAAGCTTGATTAAATAAGATTTTTAAATTAACTACCAAATCTAAAACACAAATTATATTTTAATTAATCTAAAACTTGTGTAATTAATTAGTTATTTGTTTATGACATATTTGGCTGTATTTAAAAAACGCTAGTATATGTTACATGCAATTATATAAATGCAATTATATAAATTATTTTATATCAGAAGTGGTTGAACTATAACATACTTTTGACTTCTACATTGATCTTAGCTTTCACAGCATCATCCAAGGTGCATGAGTAATTCCCAGCGTCATCCACGCTGACATTTAACAATTCTAGCACACCGTTGGGTTCAATTTTCAGCCGTTCTACCTGTCCATCCTCCCGTCCCTCTCTTATCCACATCACATTGGATTCCTCGGAATGTAAAAGATCACTCTCCTCGACACAGGCCAGTTTCAGATCTTTACCCACATCCACAGCAATGTACCGCATTGGTACCACAGCCACTGCTTTCTGCCATCCTACAAGTTCACAAATGCTCATCAACATTTATCTTATATGGTTATTAATGGTAATCATTAATAACAATTGTTTGATTAGACAGATGACCTAGACAAGCAGATTGTGATAAACAAATTTATTACATCCAATAAAAAAAGACTATTCTGTCAAAAACAAACTATAGTGCAACAAGTAACAACTGAGCTGGATAAAATTTTAAAAAATAATACAGATTACAGATCTCGAAATTTAATTGCACGCTACTTCTTTCATTCTCCTGTTACAAAATATGACTGTACATTTGTTTTGTTTCAAGATATAATTAAGATAAACGGATCTTTAGTTGTTGCGATGCACAATAATTCAACCGGGAAGCATTATTCTAAAAGAAAGATATACAAAATATTATCGGGAAGAAAACACGACGACGACAAAGAATTGCGTCGTGATCTCGGCAGGTGGTTTTGCAAACTACATACACACTCTGCCATTACTCACGCTTACAGCGAATGACGCAGGTGGCAAATGGCAATAGCAACGGAAAAGCGACGGAAAGATAGTCTCTTTACATAACTCCCCGACCCTGAATCGTAACGATCGTTCGCGCCGGTCGTGGATCGCATGATCGTAGGATATGGATCGCGGTATTGTTCCTCGAACGGAAGCGTACCTCTTTCTTTCTCTTTTCCTTCCTTCCTCACGCACACACACATGCACACTCGTAATTTTTCTCTCTCTTTCGTAATTATTTCACTCGGCGAAATCCTTACCTGCCAGAAAGAGTATCAGCAACGGTAGCAATTTACGTTCGTCCATTCTGCCATAATAATACACCTAAATGTCTGGCGAGACCTTTTGTCACGGGATTCTCCTCAATCGCATCTCTCTCTCGATCATGTCGAATGCTCGCTCTCGTGATTTTTTACTCACGATTTTTTTTTACTTCGGATGTACGCGAGGGGAGTGAAAGGAAAGGAAGAGGTGGAGGAGAAAGAGGAAGCGCGTCACTCGATGTCGATCGTTGCCGCTGTCAAACTCATCGCGCCGTACGTCGCTTATTTTACACGCCAACCGTTCATCACCAGCGATTGCTAGGCGAACACCGCCCGTCCGGCGCGCCTCACTATTTTATTGAGTCATACCTCCAACGCCCTCTAACTTACCTCCGCGCGCTCTGCTTTATCGATCATCGATGAATTTCCATTGATATATATAGCAGAGATACCTAATCGTCGAAGCGCCCTCCGTTTCAATTCAAGTCACTAAACAATTTCAAAACATGCAGCGATATAACCATGATGAGATCTATTCGATTCACAGCGTATGTAAGTATTAAGTGACCGTTTTACGAAAATCTTGAGATTATATTTTAGGAACATAGAATAACGGATAATCACTTCGAGGGTATTATTTTTCGCTCAAAATTGATTGTATATAATTATACATAATTTGCGTGATATGTAAGAAGTTTATGAAGATGAAAAGAAAAAAGAGTTTAAGTCGAAACGAATCTAGATATGCTTACAACAGTCCATTGAATGTTTTTAAAAAAAAAAGGTAATGTCTGACTGAATTAAATTTTTACGTCAAAACATTGCTAAAGCTTACGATTTTTATCAACCAATTTGGATCTCATTAGCTTGGTAGAAAATATAGCACGCAGAAGGAATGAGAGGTTATCTGTTGGAATACGAAAATTTATTAAACAAAATGCAGCAAACTCCTCTAAAAGAAAATCTTTACGAAATAGTATAATTGTCATCAACGACAGTGATAGTGAAAGAGATGATAGAATTGAAGATGTCTCGCTTATTGAATGTAGCTCAGGACCGGCCTCACCTTTTCAGCAAAATGAAAAATTGAAAACTACTGAACAAAACACAAATGAATCGTCCGCAATACCATCAGAGAATGATACATCTGTGCTTTGTTTAACAGACACGCAGGAATGTTTAAATGAAGAAAATATAGGTGAGTAACTATTTTCTAATAAAATTCTGATGAAAGAATTTGGGTTCTACTAAGAGACACAGATGACAAAAGATGTATTTCATTTATAATTAGTAACACAAGTTGATACTAATATTGTTCTGTCTTTGTTGGAATTTTATTGGAAGTAACAAAGACAGAACAACACTTGTATCATCAATGAAAAGCACCTACTGTGTACACACTGTAACAGTGTACACACTGATCTAGTATACACTATATATTTAAGCCAAAAACAGAGAATGGGTTGTAATTTTATATGTCAGAATGGTCACTAAGAGTAAAAACAAAGAACTGTGTAAGACTAATCTCTTTTTCAATTCATCTATCTTTATTGTCGACCATATTGGAATACTACTTAGATGTTGATTGCATAGTCCATTCTTTATGTTTTTGATTTAGGCTACTACCTATATGACATGTATTCTTATTTAATCTGTATTAGGTGAAGGCCTAAATGTACAGCCTAATCTAGGCCACTGTATCATTTCAACTTTGTTTAACACTGACAAACAATAAAGATGTAATGAAATCACTATTTACACTGTATCATCTGTGTCTTTGATGTAGATGATTTATGTTTACTAAAATACTGTTCTAAAGTAATATCTATATATCATTTAGCACCATCACAAACAGAGGATGATGTGATTATGATATGGTCATGTCTGAATTCATTAAATGAGAAAAAAGACAAGAAAAATATAAATAAAAAGAAGAAAAATGTGAATACAAATAAGAAAGATGCAAGCTGTAATCCCGATGAGACAAATCCAATGTTTGTGATTGATACAACACCTAATTTAAAGTACCTTAAACTTTTGAGAGATACACATAAACAGAAAAGAAAAGTGAAACGAGATATATCTTGCAATAAAACTATAGTCAAATCGTTTTTCGAATCCATTAAACGGAATACTTTGAAATGTTCAAATAACAGACAAAGAAAAAGACATCATGACAATAACTCGAATTCAACTTCCAAAAAATTACGTTACAGCGACAAATTGCAACGAGAAACAGAGGAAACTCAGAAAAATTTAGATAACAATAGCGAAACAAATTCAAAACCTAGATTAAGAGAGATAGTTGTTGATGGTTGTAATGTGGCGATGAAGTATGATACTTTTTATTTAATCATATATATTATTGATGTACATATTGATAAATTTTGATAAGTATAATGTAAAATTAGTTAATTATTATACTTATAAAATTTGTAAAGATTGCGATTTTATGTATCATTTTGAATATGATAATCTTTATATTTTAGCCATACACAAGGAAAAGAATTCTCAGAAAAAGGTATCCAAATAGTGGTAAATTATTTTAAAGAGAGAGGTCATGCTGTAAAAGTTTTCTTACCACAACACGTTCGTAGAAAGGAATATACATTTCTTGAGGAATTATACAAAGAGGGCATAGTCATTTTTACACCTAGCCGCAAAATTGGTGGTAGACAAATTACATCTTATGACGATCGGTACTACATTTTTATTATATAAATAGAAAAATAGAATGTGTATATTTTATTACATTCTTTACAAAGTAGGAATTATTTCTATATACAGTAAAATGTTTATATTTTTCATACAGTATATAATACTAGACCTATTGTATAAATGTATAAAATTTATAGAAGTATAATTAATCATTAATTTGTTGGCATTAAATAAAATGTTAGCAAAATGTCGGCAGATGCAGCAGATTTGATTAGGAATATCAGCAAACTGACATCAATTGTGTATCTTGAAATAAGATAAAAATTACAAAATTTAGCGAATTTACTAAAATATTTATAATTTCATTAGTAAACATATAGTAAATTCATCAATTTTCATTTTAAGATATATCGTTCCCCTGTTCACATAATCAGACAGTCGATTGATGTAAAAAAATGAAACAGTATCTGAGCATGGGGTATCTGATGGCAGACTAAGAGCCCCAACACACACTTTTGCATAACGCATAAAGCATATGCATAAGGAATTTCATTGGCCCATTTTCTTATGCATGAGTCAATGGACTAATCAAATTCTTTATGTATATGGTTTATGCGTTATGCAAAAGTCTGTGCTCCCCGCTTAAGGCTGCGTTCCATTTCAGACATATGCGCGCATTTTATATAGTGAGCGTCACGTATAGGGAATGCGCGCGTATGCGTGAAACGGAACGCAGCCTAATAGTAGAAATTGAGCAGCAGCTGCAAATCCTGTTCAGTCTCTATTACTAATTTGCTAGCAGAGCATGTCAGTAGGCTTTGTCATATTTCTGATGACAGTTTGCTCACATCGTCAGATATTACAGACTCTGTGTGAAATTTTTATATGACGATGTTGCCTTGCTATCAGAAATTGATAGCATACTCTACTCAAAACTTGTTTCTGCAGACTTTGTTAACTGAGTGTATTTTACATAAACATCTTATCTCAATTTTCTTGTTTATAGCAAAATTATATAGTAAGTTATAATAAACTTTATGCTCTTCTTTCATTGTTTATTGTATTTAAGGCTCCTGAATACCGGCGACGGCCATGTTGGAATTGTGACGTCATAGGCGAGAAAAACACATTAATTTTTCTTGCGTCCCATTTTTTAATAAAGACAATTTGGATAAATTTAAAAGGCGAGATCGCTCAAAAACACTTGTGAAAATTGGCGGAAACTGTCCTTTCCTCCTCTGATAGTCAGTAAATGGTCGTAAAAGGCACGTAAAGTGAGTCTATACTCGGGCAGAATCACACAGTTTAACAGCTGATGAAACGAGTGAAATATACGCTTTTACGTATAAAATTTCACGATAACTGCAGTTTTCGTCAATTTTTAGGATTTTAACGAGTACGAGGGTAGTCACATTTTCACAAATAAGCAAATATTGACGAAATGGCACGCAAAAAAAATTTTGTCGTCTAAACTTGTCAAAACATCACTTTTCCGCGCCTATTAGTTCAGCCTTTTATCATGGCGAGGCGCTATACACACACAAGCATGAATCCCATGTCTATGTGCTCCCTTTCTGCCCGAAAATGAGCACACGGACATGAGCTTGCATTTGTGTGTATAACTACCAGTTTTGCTAGGCTACCGACTAATTCGGTGTCGCTACCATCAACACGGAGTTCTTGGCTGAATATTCAGGAGCCTTAATTAATTAGGAATTTATGTTGTTTTTCTACTTCAAAAGTGACAGTATAATTTGTCTATCATTGGTTAATCAAATAATATCGGCAAAAGAATATGTTCTCAACCTGATCAAATTCCATTCATCCTCATTTCACAATTCTTAAAAAAGTCACCATTTTGAATCATGTTGATTTTAATGTTTTTAATATTATCTCTTCATGATAATAATTCAAAAATCACGTTTTTTTTTAGTTATATCACTTTTGAAGTATACGAAGGAGCGATATGTATATTTCGCACATATATAAGACGTAATAAAAATTTAATTTCTTGACGTTTCTTTATTTCTTTTATCGCAGATTTATTTTGAAATATGCGACATCGTGTGGAGGGATAGTGATTTCTTCAGATCAATACAGAGATTTGTATAGAGAGAAACCGGAATGGCGCAATACTATTCTGAACCGTTTACTAATGCCCACCTTCGTTGGGGATTACATAATGTTTCCGGAAGATCCGTTAGGCAAGTTTGGACCTAATCTCGAAAGATTTTTACAATATTGATGCAGTTATGTTACCATCACAAATATTATTCCCAGGGAATGGAGGTAACTTTTGTAACGCCGTTACTTTCTTTACCGTTATTGTTGTTATAATAATGATTTGATGAATTTTTTTATGATTGTAACATCAGGACTAAAAAATAATTCGAGTATTACTTGTAATGAGTTAGAAAAGTCATTAATTACTGAAAAAATTAATTGGGTATTTGTTACTCGTTATAACGAGTAACGTTACTCATTATTTGTTACAGATTACTTTTTTCAGTAAGTAATCGCATAATTAAGCGAAATAATTTTTCTAATCTTAGCGCAACTTTAGTGTTTAATTAGTTGTCATTACAATCATAAAAAATTGCAACATTATTATGTTATTATAAAAAGTAACGGAGAAAGTAATCGAAACTCTTGCATTTCCTGATTGTTCTAGAGCAGGGCTCGGTACGCTTTACAACTTTCGGCCGATTTTTGAATCGGCTCCGCCTTCCACTGTTTCCCTCACCTCATCACTCACGTGCAGTCCAAATGCCGCACGACGGTCGAGGAACGAGCGAGCCCTGCTCTAGTAATTTGAATATCAAGACTGTTTAATGTCTTGTTACCAATTGTGAATCTTTTGTACTACAATTTTATTTCAAATATTTATCTATTCATTTTCTTTATATGAACTGAATATATGCTTTTTCATATGTCAACCTAAATAATTATTTATATTTAAAATTAAAATTTATATTTAAAATTAAAATTTTTGTAAATTTTAATTTTTTCTCTATAAAAGTGTATGTATATGCATTTTTTGGATTTATATGTGAATTGAATTATATTCAAAGAAAAATGAAAAAATAAGTTTATTTTGTGTAGCATATATACGAAATACTGTCAAATTAATACAATATTTCTATAATAATTATATCTCTCCATAATTTATACTTATGTAATATGTGTTTATACATGTATGTAAGAGAAGCATTTGTAACATTGTAAAAAATAATTTATTTACAAAATTCTTTGCTATCGAAATGTTGTACTCTGTTATACTACGCGAATGTATGCAAAGTAAGTTTAAAGAAAATAAAAAAGATTATAAATTTTATTTTGGATTGTATAAGAATGATTTTCTTACAACTCTCATCTTTTACTTAAGTTGTGAAATGATGTACTTATACAGGGATGAGATATCCAAAATAGATCACCTAAATAACTTGTTTGTTTTTAATAATACAAAAAAAATCTTTTAGATAAAAGTGGAATAGTTTCGAGGAGGACATGTTTTAATCACGTTTTTCATCTAGGTAGAAGCACCAAAAAGATATGAAGGTCATCTCCATTTTTTAAAATGGAATTGCTTCAGTAACTTTGTATTGGAATGACTTTTTTTTTACATGATATGATTTCTTTAACAATTCTGCATATAAAGATATGAAAATACAGATATAAAAAAACCAATAGTTTACAAAATATTTTATACTTTAAACGTTAAAGGATTCATATTATGTAAAAAAATCATGTAATTCCATTAAAAAAAAAGAGATGACTTTCATATCTTTTTAGTGCCTCCACCTAGACAAAAAACAAGGTCCCAAAACACGTCCCCCTTGAAACTTCCATTTTCGTCTGAAACATTTTTTCGTATCATCAAAAACAAGCGAGTTATTTAGGTGGCCTGTTTTAGATGCCTCACCCTGTGTGTATAATACGTATATATAGTATTATATATATATATATATATTCATACACACATATATATGTGTGTGCGTGCACGTGTGTATGTATAATCTTATAAAAAAATTATAGAAAAAAATAAACATACAATGTCGTTACAAACTATAGGTTATCTTATGCTGGTCTCCAACAATGTTTCCCTGATTGATGAACAAAGTCCATGCTTTCTTGCGCAGATTCACGTGCAAAACGTTGCATTGTATTTTCATTATCACTATTATGACTTGCATTTGATAATACTGCTTCATGTTGAAAGGCCGAACTAACAGCTGAAAAGTTTTACATAAGAATGTAGATATTTTTTATAATATTAGGAGGATTAACTTAATAAAAAATGTGTACTGTATTTAGTTTTTTGTGAGAACATAATTAATATTTGAATGTACATAAATATATCGAATATATGTACATAAATATTGTATAAGTTGAAGACAACAAATTAAATATTGTATATATTTTTTAAAGAAATGAAACATGTATGATTTACTTGATTTGGCGAATAGCTTCCTTAACACATAGTCATCGTCTGTGGTTGAAGCTGACTCTTCTCTTTCAATAGAACGTCCCAGGCGACGACCGATTAGACAAGAGACACGTTCTCCCTCAAATATCGCAGAAACATTTGTATTGCTCGAATCTTTTCTATGTTTTTTTCGTTTATGAGTAGACGATGACGTGACTTTGTCGTCATTTAATACAAATTTTTTCTTCTTTTCCACAGAATGATTATCTAAAGATTTCACTGAAACTACATTCTGTTCACAATTGTCCTTCTTAAATGTATTTTCATTTTCTATATTACTATATTCTATATTTCTTTCAATATTTGCATCAGAATTCATATCAAAATCATCATTACATTTGCTCGAAGACTTTTGTGTATTATAATGATCGGAAGGCAAGTTTTGGTCCTCACACACATCATTTTTCGTGACAAGAGCATCTAAGCGTTTTGAATTATCATTCTGTTTATCACATTCTTCTTTGCAAGTGCTATTATTTGTATCTTTATTTTCAACACACATCAATTTTGTTTTAGCGCTTATTTTTTTACTGAGAACCGACGCTAACTTTTTCATCTCCTCGATTTTACTCAGAGAAAAGCCACTGGGTGTCAATCTAGATTCTCTAAATAAGCGATCCGATTCGGAAAACTCGCCGGCTATCGGCTCATTCAGATTAAATAATTCCACCAGATCCGTCGATTTAAATAGTTGACGTTGACGTGGCTCATCAAGAACTTTATTCGAAAGTAGCAGCTTGAAGATCTGTCTATGGTATATCTGAAAAGAGAGAAGGAAATTGCTGTTACTAAACTATTTGATTAAATCTTATAAAAATATCATTATATTCATACATCTTTTTTATCAATAAAATTGATGATCTACTTGATAATCTACTGTTACCAACCTTTTCCTCAATAGTGCCAGCAGTAATTAATCTATAGATAGTGACTTGCTTATTCTGGCCTATTCTCCACGCGCGTTCCTTCGCTTGAGCATCTGTGGCTGGATTCCAATCGGGATCATAAATAACCACTCGATTCGCACCGGTCAGATTTACTCCCAGGCCTCCTACGCGCGTTGTTAGGAGGAATACAAAATATGACGTGTCCTTCGAAAAAAAGAATTAATTTTCCAAGGATGTTATTGCCATAAATTTTTCAAATAATTAATATGTACATTATTAAATTTGTGAATCGTTTGCTGCCGTTGAGACATTGCTGTTGTTCCATCCATTCTCAAGTAAGTGTATTTTTCACGTTGCAAAAGAGACTCTAAAATGTGCATCATCTGTGTAGAAAGAAAAAAGTATGAAAAATAGTTTATCTGGCGGGTTAGTTATATAATAACATGTGTAATATAATAATTCTAATAAGTAATTTGAATAATTCGAAAAACTTAGTATTTTTGTATTAAAAAAATGAAAACAATGTAATATTTATTTATAAATATAAGTAATATCGATATTTTTGAAATTCGACGAATATAAAAAATTTATATTCTATATGTTCAAAAAAGGATCATTTACCTGTCTTCCCTGAGTAAAAAGTAGCACTCTATGACCTTGCTTCTGCCAGATTTTCAGAAGAGATCGAACTACTATCATTTTTCCAGCACGTTTATAATATCCGAATTTCTCTATTTGTTCTTCGAACAAATCAATATCTTCATCGGAGTCCTTAAAAAGAAAAAAGATTTATATTTTTATAAATGAAGTGTTATTATGCTAGTTATCTTACTTGTTCTCTGGTGTACAAAAACAGATCTGGATGGTTACATATTTTTCTCAATGCTGATAAAGCAATGAGAAACCTCGCCCTATATCTTCCGCTGCCATGATCATTTCTCTCGTGAAGAATAAAAGAAACATCATCGGAGCATAGATATTTTTTATACAACTTCTTTTGCTCATCCGTTAAGCTGCAAAATAATACCTGAGGAAAAAAAAACAAATTGGTTCAATAATAATTGAAAATTTCGATATTTCTTGTATCTATGAAAAAAAAGATTATTGAAAGAGAGAGAGAGAGAGAGAGAGAGAGAGAGAGAGAGAGAGAGAGAAAGAAAGTAAAATAAAAGTGAAAGAACAATAATTGTCTGCAACAGAGATATATCTATTATAAAAAAAGTAAGGTGAACCTGCTCATTTTTCTCCGGCAGAGTGAGATGATGCTTCACATCAGTCTTTGTTCTTCGGAGCATATATGGTGTAATAGTGTTTTTCAGCATAGTGGCTATTTGGAGAGCTGTTGCTTCCTGCAACGGCGTGGCATTTGCGTAACCACCGCGTGTTATAGGAATAGCACAATGCTCTAGAAATACAGGTAGTGTGCCCAATTTACCAGGTAAAATAAAGTCAAACAAGGACCACAATTCCTTCAGGGAATTCTGCATTGGACTACCAGTCAGCAGCAAGCGATGCGATGTTGCAAATCGCTTCACCGCTCGGCTTACCTATAAAATAATATAATTTATAATAATATAATTTAATTAATATGAAAGATAATATTTGCAATTTTCTTGTAATAAACATTTATTATGTCAATTACTGAGTAATTACCTTTGCTTGTGGATTACGAATCTTATGGCCTTCGTCTAAAATAACATAATGCCATTGACTATGCACAAGCAAATCTTTGTGTCTAAGAACTCCGTTGTAAGAAGTAATGAGTATTCCGCCAGTTTGTAGAGATTCTATCAAACTTTCTGGATCACCTGAATGAGAATTCATACTTGTGGTTGATATCTTTGAGGAACATATATAAATTATTTACTTACCATTATAGCCACTAGAATGATGAAGCACAACGACTCTGAAGAAAGGCCACCATTCATGAAAATGCTTCACCCATTGCTCCATTAAAGTAGCAGGACACACAACTAGAGTCGGGCCTAATCCTCTGTATCTGTTAATTGTGAATAGAATTTTTTTTTTCAAATGCATGTCAATACATTTATAACGTAAATATACCAACGAATATAAATAACAGGAATAAAATGATATTTATAAGTAGGTGATACTCTCTTTTAAGAAAAAAATATTCCGCAAATATTTTGTATACATATAAATTCTACATCAATTAAGAAGCAAGAAAATGTGCAATACCTTCCGTTGTAAGAGAGCAATTCGCTACAATCCAAACCCGCGAGAAATGCAATAATCTCCACAGTTTTTCCTAATCCCATCTCATCACCCAACAGGCCGCCTAATTTACGACTGTGCAATTCCCAGAGCCACTTAACTGCGACTTTTTGATATCTTTTATAAAAAATTTATAATTAAAAAAAAATTATGTATTATGTATATAAATATACGTAATTATATTAATTCAAATATAAAGTAAATATTGAATTTAATTCTGATACAGAAAATTGATCTATATGTCAAAATAATTCATAAAAAGATCTAAATATTAAAGATTAAAGTCTTTTCTTTAATTGCTCAAAATGTTAAATAAATATTTATATTTAGAGATAAATAAAATTGTAAAATTCGACAAAATAACATATCTACCTGTACAATTTTTCCCAAATACATTGTGGCACTTTAAAGAGAGTATCAATTTTGTGCATTGCTTCATCTTTAGGATAAGTGTTCGTTTCTATTCTTTGCTTAAATAGTTGATGATCTCCATCATCTCGAGCTGAATAAATTTAAAAAAAATAAAATCAAAATAATGAGTAATAAAACAAAAAAATAACAACAGCAGAAAGATCAAATAATTCATCAATTGTAAAAATACGTACTTCTTTTTATGCGGATGCACCCGGATTTAACTGAAGATTTTCTTTTTTTAGACGATGCCTTATCCTCCATATCTGAAAAAAATTGTTTAATATACTTCTTTCAAGTTAATCCAAACAAATCGAATGTTAATATTACCGGAATCCACTTCGTTATCACTGGGAATATATTCGCTTTCTGAACTGTTGTCATCAATCCCATTTGCTTCATTGGAATCTGCCTTGTCTGTACTTTGCATAGTGTTGTCTTGGCTGTTCTCATGTTTAGATTTTTGACATTTTTTATTCGTTTTTGCATCAGTATCAAGTAATTTTGCTTTTTTTTTTATTGACACTGTATTTTTGTCAGATGCTTTAGATACATTCTTTAATTTCCTTTTTTGTTCAGCAAGAGCAGCTTGTTGTTTGAAATACTTCTCAAGATCAGATAATTGAGAACTTTTAGTAGCACTTCTAAAAAAGAATGTAAACTAATTATTAAATTTAATTATGAAATTTTGAATTATTTAAATACTAAGATTCATCAATTGTTACATTCAAAATTTAATTTAAATTATAAGTAAAATAAATATTTTATATCATACCCTTCCTTTAGCTCTATAGCTGACTGTTTAAATACTGCTTCAAATGGAGTAATTTCTCCAATCTCGACTTGCTTTTGCAATTCTGCCTTATGATTCTTTTTGCTATTAACTTCGATATTTTCTTCAATATTTGATTTGACATCATCATCTTGTATTCTATGTTGATTGTTTGATTTTGTATTGTGTTTGATATGTTCTGATACTTCTTGCAAAATGCTGTCTTCTGCTTGAACTGACACTATCTGTTGACAACAGTTATGTTGTAGAAAAGAGGGAAAGGGATGTGAACAAAACATTTCATTATTTCGAAGTGTCACATATGTGACATAAAAAGTTAGAGCTGTTAGTTCAACAGTGTTTATGTAGCACTCTAACCTAAATGATTACTTGGTAGTATTGAATTACCTCTTGCAAATCATTTGGAAGCTCGTCGCTTAGCATACTTCCTATCGTGTTGTCAGCAAGACTCGACACACCACTGTCGTTATTATTTGCCTCTGCCATGCTAATTCTGCCACGCTAACATATCATTCCGCGATGATGCTTTAAAACGGATCCGAAATCGATCTTCCAAACATACTCGTTTGGAACATATAATCGTGCATACAGTACAGACATAAATCGCATAAATCAATCAATTACTCGTCAAAATAGTCATTCAAATTTATGCCCGGCTCGAAACTCTGTCCTTGTGATCCGCGAATTTTACGATTGTTTTCATCGCGCAGGAATTGCTGCCTATTTTACCGATCGAATATCGCTTTAAATTTAAATTCATATCTAAACGGATGACTCATAATAATCTGAAGAACGAATATCAATTACGCAACGTATCGAAATAAGTCTACGAATACATCGACATGCATATATATTGCATTAATATAATTGCATACCTCATTTGCAAATTCGTGAGATTAAAAAAACTCAATTTACTTTTTAATAAGAAATAATATATTTATTAATTGTACAGATATCTCAAATATTTAACATAATGTTCATTAAAATTCATGATTAAAATAATTCAAATCTTTCTCATATAATTAATGAGATTGTCATTTCTTTTAAATTAAATCAAAAGTTTGCGTTTTTTCGCTTATATAAACATGTTACATATGTATTATCAGAATTTACAATGAACATAATTCACTTCTTTTTCATGTATTTTATACATGAGATTGCCATTTTTTTAAATCAAATAAAAAAAGTTAGCATTTTTTACTTAATTAATAAGACAGTAAATTTTAAATGAAACGACAACCATGAAAAAAGAAATATAATTATGAAAGAGAAGAAAGAAAATTTTCTCTTCTATAAAACTACAATTTAAAGAAACTGCGTATTATTCAAGGAAGCAAGAGATTTCACAGGTTTACGGTTTACTGCAGGTATACGGAAACCATCGATAGTTCTGTAAAATTTCTTCTCAGGCGATCCAATAGGTGTTAAGCCCACGGATTTCATCAAATTCGATGATGATGCCAGAGAATATCTAAAAATAAAAGATATACAATAAAAACAGAGGATATCATAATATCATTTAGATATTTTATTTTTGAATTATCAAAATTGAATAACATAATATTATTATATGAAACATAAAAACGAATTTTACAAGAAGATTCGTTTTCGTTTCTCTGATCTCGTTGAAAGATATAAAATTGTTCTTTTTATTCAAAGTTTTATATTTTACCCTGTGCTTGATTGATTTGAGCCATTCGAAAAAATACCGGAGTCAGCCGGTGTTTCCATTACAAAGGATCGCGGAGTTTCCCTATTGGCCATTTGGAGTGCCAGTTGCTTCTCAAGTTTAGCCTTATTATTTTTCAAAGTCACATACTTTTCCATCAGCGCTTTCAAATTACGATCTGACATCCAGTATCGGGTTTTCAGTACTTCGTATTTTTTATCCTGCGTCATCGATAACAACAATTTAAAAAAATACAATATGCAATCATAAACAATTAAGACTGCAGGGAAAAACCAAAGGTAATAGAAAAGACAGATTCTGATTTTATATATACAAGATCGGAAACGCTGCATTTGTTATTTTAAACTGATTGCTACAGATCGTCGGAATTTAAAGAAAAATACAAAGAAAGGAATAACAGAAACACAAGGATTGTAAAAGACACGAAATGTACAAATAACAATTAATACAAATTATTCCAGCAACATTTCAGTCATATTGCAATAACATTGTAAGTATCGCAACAATGTTGCTGTAAGCTTTTGTGTTGTATGGAAATAATAAAAATTTAAATCTAGAAAAAACTAAGTAATAAGAATAGGAGACTAATTATACATACAAGTTCCTGGTAGCGCTGCATTATTATTTTAATTTGATTGTTGTGGAACGCATCCACCTTTAGCATCATTTCCATAGTATCGGCAAAAGGCTGAAAGAATGGCATCACTTTCGGTATCAGCGGCTCTTCCAATGCCAACGATATGGTGCCGATACGCTGGCATTGCGGGCATTGCTTCTCGACTGAAAAACCGCAAGTCGAAGACGAGTAGAAAAAATATCCTGGAAAGTACATTGTATCGTAATGTGAAATATTTCTTAAAATTTACATTGCTGCAGACAAGATTGGCAGGAGATGTGGCCGCACTGTGTAATGTGATAAGGATGTTTTCCTCTATAAAACGGAGCGTAGCATTTGTTGCAGATCAACATATTCATTTCCATCATTTTGGAAGGCTGAAATAATCAACTGCGTAATTTTTGCGGAAGTAAACATTACTTAAATAAAAATAGAAAAACTTAAATAAAAGTAGAACAAAAAGCAATTGCGCTATCAAAGTGGCTCCAAAATGACTATTATAAAAATCACTTCTTGATCAGACACGATTTATTTCAATATCATTTTGATGAAATCGTGACTTATTATTGTTGTTTTAACTAAGAATTGATCTTTATTCTTTTTTACTCAAATAAATCGCAATCAAACGTGACTTACTATAATCTTTGATCATTTATATGACAAACATTTAATTCCTTACACGTAAAGCGTAAAAAGTGAAATATATCTACTGGATAATATATATATGTTAGATAAAATTGAAACTTACTTTTGTCCCGTATATATTTATTTTGCAGGAATAAATAACGATATGATTTAAAATAATCGTTGGTGATATTAAAAATCAAAATCGCTTTCGCGCCGCGTTCTTCACAATCTACTCACAGTAGAAGACAACAATTGAATTGCGATAGTGTTTCGTTTTTCGCGTATGCGCGATGGTGCACGTCAGTTACTACGTTTAAAAGGTTCGATTTACGCCGAAGTTTAAATAACATCGATGTTAAGAAAGTGGCCAATCACAGTCATTCCATTCTTCAGAGGAATAGCTACGATTGGCCAGTTTCATAATATCGATGTTATTTAAACTTCGGCGTAAAAAGCGTGCCGTATAAACGTAGTATGCTTTCTTTTTAGAATTTTAGATGACACACTCGACACAAACGTCGTTCTATCCTTCTTAACATTCAACGAATGATAAATGTAGAACGATGTCGAGTGTGTCCTCTAAAAGGAAAGTATACGTATAAGTAGATATGTATCATCACGAGTACTTTAGTCCGGATCAACAATAGATGTTGAAAGAAACTGACCAGTTACAATCAAATACGAGGAGAATAATCGACTCTACATCCATCTCTTATGGCATATATGGGAAAGTAATATAGACAATAACATTATTTGATAAATTAATCATCAATTATGAGTTAAATTAATTATCGGAGTTGGTTGGTGTCATGAATTATTAACTTTTTTTAGTTTATTCTTGTCAGCAGCAATGTCCAAATTGACGTCCAATCGAAAAGCTTGTCTCCTAGAAATTTCAGTGAGGTATAAACGAAACGTCTAAAGCAGGACGTGAGCGAGACCCATCCCCGATTCTTCCAGAAATCGCCCAGCCAATCGCGACTCGGTCTCAGAAAAACGAGTCGCGTCGCAGTATCGCAATCGCAACATCAGAACATCGCATGATCGTAGACATTAATATCAGTATATCAGTATCAGTTTCTCAGTACTTACACACAGGTGCATAACGCGTCGGTTGTGTTCACATCGGTGACGATTATCGGGCGTAATAGGTGCGATAACGGGGCACCTCCTCTGTCGGGAGTACTGTCGTGGATCATCGTGATTGCGAAAAATGCGACAGCCGCGCGTATGAGCGAATCCCTAGGTAAAAGAAAAAAAAGAGAGAGAGAGAGAGAGAGAAAAAAAGGAAAAATCGACGCGTTTCCGTGCGCGGACATTGTGCACGGTCTCTCGTAACATAAGTACGTATACGCCACGGCACTGCCATATCCGATTCGTTCGGATTCGGCTGTTCTTTTTTTTCTTCTCTCCTCGCTCTTGTTCTCTTCGTCATTCCCTGTCGAACGTTGCATCTCGTTCTTTCGCAGACACACGATTGTCGCGATCGTCTCTGCTTGTGACGTGATACAAATGTTTTTCCGTCCCAAGGTGCGATAGCCTCCGTTATCCGTGAAATCGAGCCCGCGAGCCGCCGCCTCGCCCCCCCCTT